TTCCAAAGAGGATGGATCTAGACCAGGGGTCGGCAACCTTTCAGAAGTGGTGTGCCGAGTCTTCATTTATTCACTCTAATTTAAGGTTTTGTGTGCATTTTAACATTTTTAGAAGGTATCTTTCTATAAGTCTATAATATATAACTAAACTATTGTTGTATGTAAAGTAAATAAGGTTTTAAAAATGTTTAAGAAGCTTCATTTAAAATTAAATTAAAATGCAGAGCCCGCCAGACTGGTGGCCAGGATCCGGGCAGTGTGAGTGCCACTGAAAATCAGCTCATGTGATGCCTTTGGCATGCGTGCCATAGGTTGCCTACCCCTGATCTAGATTGTTCTCAGTGGCAGCAGATGACAGAACAAGGAGTAATGGTCTCAAGTTGCAGTGGGGGAGGTTTAGGTTGGATATTAGGAAAAACTTTTTCACTGGAATGGGTTACCTAGGGAGGTGGTGGAATCTCCTTCCTTATTGGTTTGTAAGGCCCGGCTTGACAAAGCCCTGGCTGGGATGATTTAGTTGGGGATTGGTCCTGCTTTGAACAGGGGGTTGGACTAGATGACTTCCTGAGGTCCCTTCCAACCCTGATATTCTATGATTCTAGTCTTTCAGCTGGCTACTCACCAGTTTCTGCTAGTCCAGTGCACCAGATTGTCAGTCCTTAGTATCTCTTCCCTCACTAGACTCCATCTTTCTCTCTGCTAGGATTCCTCTACCAAAAGCTTTCTACTTACCTCAGTACAGATACTTTATAGTTTAGTAGCAGGTATGTGAAAAAGACCATTACCACTATATTGCTTTTTAAGCCTTAAAGTGATGCCTCCTATCCATACTCTCTGACGTTAATCTGCTCAATTTCACTTTCCATCCCATGCTGTCTGAGAAACAAACCAGATGTTACATGTCCATCTGGTCAGAAGGTGCAGTGTTGAAGGATGTGTGCTGTATGCCTTTGTAAATTAAACTGGCTAACTTACATACAATGAGTTGGCAGTCTCAGCATAGTTTCCAAGGTATATTTGTTCACATCACTAAAACCTCCATAAAAATTTGAATTTTGCACTTGACAGGAATAGCAGGGATTGCTACAGGCCAGAGGGAAGGTGTTTTGACAGAGCACTGTCAGGAGCAAGCACTGGACTAACAGGGATGTTGTAGTGCAAGAGTTTGGAGCATTTGTAGAGGTGTGTGTATGGGACCGTGCACTGGTATAACAGGAACTGCTACAAGTCAGGAGAAGATTTGGCAGAGATGCTTTGTGGCAGTTGAGAGGATGCCTGGCCATACTATTCCTACCTTTTCCGTTTCATAAGTTCCAAATTCATTTAATTTACAGTAAAATGTTTTGAAGTGTAATTTTCAGTCTGTGGCTTTTGTAATGATTTGGATGGTATCTTTTCTATAGGCTGCATTTCAGACAGGCGAGGGAAGGAAACAAAGGTCTCTTGGAATCTAAAGCAGGAGAGTTGTTCTTGAATCTCTGGTATCTACGAGTCTCTCAGAAATAGGGCACAGGGCCTCCTTGAAATCTCTCTATAATGAATTAGCCTGAAGTAAAAGTAGGTGTTTATCTCAAGTCATTGCCTCAAATAGCTGACTACCTGTTGGAAGAAGGGTCTGATCGATGCAAACTAAAGCAGCCGTGCGTGAGCTGTTACACAGCGGTTAGTATTGATCAGAGCTAAAGGCTGCCGATAGGAATGTGGAGTGAACTGACAGGCGGAGAAGAGGGAAGGAGGAAACGGCCTTCGCTGGTGGCAGCCGTACAGAGGAAAGCCGATAAAAAGTCAATTCCACTTAACTGAATGGCTGCTAACTAAATATTTTTGGGGCCAGAGCCTTCCCAGATAGCAGCTGGAGTGTCTCTGTTCCGGAACTGAGACATCAAGTGAGTGCTGGGCATCGACAGGTGAGATAACAAAGACACTTGTGATGGCTGGTGGAGCAGGAAACCCCTTCAGAGTCGTGCACAGTCCCTGTTCATTCTACTGAGCTATGTGGAGCACCTCCCATGATTAGGGACAGCTGCTACTAGCAGGAAAAGGGAAGGAGTAAGGAGGAATATGTGGGATACCCATCTTCAGTACTGTGATAGCTACTTCATACAGAGAAAGAAATGATCCCAGTCTCTGCTACTGCCATCTAAGGTCACTGTAACAAACCACATAGAAACATTTGCTGGCTGTGAGGAAGCTGCATAGATTCTCTAGTTCCAGCCTCTGCCAACAGGGAGGCACTTTAGTGAATAGTTTCAGAGTAGCAGCCGTGTTAGTCTGTTCTTCTTTTAGTGAATAGTGTAAGAATATTGACCATCAGAAAGTGATAGCTGGCTAGAAATAATTGCAGTAAGCTGGGTAGATGCAGCATGAGCTAGATACAGTGCAAACACCATTTCAGATGCACACATTATTTTCCATTTGTTGCCTGAAACTTGTGTAATAACACTGTGTGCTGTTAAACTGCTCCCAGGTTCCAGCCCACAGGTGACTGCATTTCTGCAAAGGGTGAAGGGATTCATACTATACATATAATCAGTTTATAAAGAATGTAAAAGACTTGGGAATCCTTCTGGATTAAAGGTGTTTAAAATGTAAGTTAAATTATTATAATCTAACTGCAACATTGGCTGGTGATAGGAGAAAACTGATAAATTCTCCTTGTTCTGTTTACTTCCTTCCTGAGCAAATCAGGTCAGACCAGTTACTGGTTGTCTTCCTCTCTGAATTGCTAGGATTAGTTCTGCTTTATGGTCTGTTATGTTGTGTGGCCACATACTGTAGAACACAAAGAAATCAAAAGCAGTAGAGACATTTTCCTGGATCCAATATTCAGTACCTATACTCATAGGCGCTGGCTTTCTCTGGGCCCGGAGGGTGCTCAACCCTCTGCCCTGCCCCCATCCGACCCCTTCCCCCAAGTCCCACATCCAGCCCTGGTGCACCCATGGAGTCGGCGCCTATGCCTATACTGTATTTCAGGCCAACTCTTAGTGGACTGGATCAATGTTTAAGGCACATAATATAAAATGATTCCCCAAGAGTTTGATTATAAGTGTCACAGTCACAGCTCTAGTTCAGGTTCTACCTTTTAAAAGTTTTATTATTTTACAAAGTAATAAATCAGGAGCGTAGGAAAAGATGGATGTCCATCCATCTATTCATACAGACAATTGGTGAGTCACTGTCAACAGAATACAGACTGTGGGCTCCTGGTGGCAGACATTCCATGTGGGGGGAGGGATGGCTGGCTCATAGCAGTGCAAGCTACTTGCAACCTCCTCTCTCAAAGGTGAGAGAGGAGGCCTGAAGCTACCTAGTGCATTCCTGAGAGTGGGAATCATAGAAACATAGAAACGTAGAGCTGGAATGGATTTTGAGAGGTCATCTAATCC